TCTTTCCCTCTTTCTCTATTTCTCCTCTTGGCTCTGAAATATTTTATTTCTTGAACATAATCAAAATGATAAATTTGGATTCAACAATATGTAAATATAAGTGGTTTGATGGACCTTAGAAATGAAGAATTTTTTAATGTTTTTTTTTTTTCTCGCTTAAAAAATAAAAAAATTGCCCTTTTCCTTAGTGTTGATTACTGTAAATAAATAATAAATTTTTCATCTAAAATCATGGTAGTTAATATGGTAGTGTGTCGAGGTTTAGCTTTTGTGGTCATCTGAGGGTAGGTTATCCTATTTAGATTGCAAGTCCACTGGCCGACATCTCTCTCTTTCTCTCGTGTTTAATCTGCACATTAGATACATTTTATATATTATTTATCATTTGCATGGTACTTTTGGAACCAACCGGTTTAATTCAGGTTGACTTTTGTTATTTTAATTTAGGGTCCATGAATTGGCCCAATTAATTATTATAAAGAAAATTATGTCCACTCATTAAAATTGACGTGTCCTCAACAAATTTTTTCTGATGGCACACGAATCTCAATGTAAATTCAAATGTATGAACATCTAAGTTCTGATTTCAACAAATTTATATTCAAATTGAGCATCTTGTCAAGTATCATTAATTAGTCTACATAACATGACAATATCTAAACAAAGTACCATCAAACCAAATCTATTACTTTTCATAGATATTTTAAAACCATTCAAATGAAAAAGAATGAAGCCAACCTGTTAAATATTTCTTTAGATTGAATTTGGCTTAATGGTTTACATTTTATTAGTAACTCTAACATGATTTTATGTCGGGCCTCTTATGAGCATACATGGGATGGGTTAACTCCTGGAAAATTATACTAACAAAACAAAATTATGAAACTGGTATGCCAAAGCTAACCATATCTCAATGATTAAGTGTTTCATTTATAACAAATGATATCAGAATATTATATTAGCCAAAAAAATGGGAAGTATGTATAAGAATATTGCAGAGGATGTTAGTCATTGAAGAGGCAAGATTATGCTTTAAGTAATATGGAACTCTTAAATATCCAGACAACATTCATTGCAATCATTGAATTTTCATTTAGAAATATAAGTTAGCATATTCATATTGGAGCAACTCTACTACTCTAGGATCAGTAACCTTTCGAAATCTTATAACAATAAGACAAAACTGTATGATCATTATCTTGAAGCTGTAACACCTCATTGATCAATAGTTAGCACCATTACATAAATCATTGTAATTTTTAAAACACTGCTATTTTCATATCAAAACTACTTATCTAACATTGGCTGAATAGCTCCCAAGTCTATCACATTGCACATAAGATTTTTTTTCTTTTTTCTCTTGTAAATTTATTGTAACTGAATACCTACTGCAATTATTTTCAAATATAATTTTCAGGTTAATGACCTGATCGATAGCTTAAGAAAAGAATGGCCAACCCTAGCTTGCCCCAGCAGCGATGGAACCCATTTCTGGGAACATGAATGGGAGAAGCATGGCACCTGCTCCGAGTCTGCCCTCAACGAACACGCCTCCTTCCAAGCAGCACTCGATCTCAAGAAGAAAATCGACCTCCTCCAAATTCTTAATGATGCAGGTCAACTATCTAAGATCACAATGTCATGATTATTTTTTAATCAAACTTTATTTAACAATGAATTATAAAATGTTTACAGGGATAAAGCCTGACGGTGGATATTACAGTGTGAGCAGCATCAAGGATGCAATAAAGCAAGCTACAGGTTTCACTCCATGGATAGAGTGCAATGCGGATGAAGGAAGGAACAGGCAACTGTATCAAGTTTACATGTGTGTGGATACGTCTGCTACTAATTTGATTGAGTGCCCAGTCTTTCCAAGGGGGAAGTGCACGGCTCAAATTGAGTTCCCTCCCTTCTAGACATATTTGCTCTTAAAAGTCCATTCAGTATCTTGAATTTAGTTTTTTTTTATTTATATTTTTGCAAGATTCTCTAAAAAATGATGAAGTTTATTTCCACTCAAGACGGGCGAAAACATAAAAATTTATTACATGTTTTTATTTGACTGTTCTGTTTAGTCTGTCCTCATTTGTAAACTTTGTTCTGCTTGTTAAGTGTGTAAGTTGTTGTAATTTGATTGTACTGAAATAAATAATTAATTTACAAGGGGTACTTCTGATGTCTTCCCTTGCGGAGGTTTTTCCGTCCCTCACTGCTCTATTAATGTTTGGAGATTTATATCGATTTTAGTAGAGAGCTAAGGCTTTTTTTAATAGATTTCCAAAGACATTCTTATGGATACTTGTCTCAGAACTATAAAAACACCACCCTAAACTTACTATTTACAAATCAACTACTCTCTTTCATCTATTTTTCAAATTCTTACTCAAGTATCAAAATTCATGGTAAAATCTCAACCTATAATTTTCATTATTATCAAATTCTCAATATTTTAATTGTGACACTCATAAATATCATCTGGGTGATTAATTTATAAATATCAATGTATCAGGTGATTTGTATGTAGCTGATCTGATTGCTAAATGATCTGCAATGTAGTAAGTCAATCACAGACCGAAACTAAAGAATATAAAAAAAAAATACTATATATAACAAAAAGAAGTTTCATATATTTATCTTCTTGGATTTCAACTTCATTCTCGCCAGATTGAAATGATCATAATTATGAGTAAGAAATTTAAAAAACTAAAATGATTGGGAGACAGAAGAACGGAATCATCATTAGGGCATAAATCTTATGAGTGATTTAAGTTTCCCTAATCTTAAAAACGCTAGAAAATGACGATGGGCAGATACATTCAGACAAAAGCAAAATATGCATTTGGTGCTTTACATTCACGTCATGTCAGGGGAAGATTTCTAACCATATCAAAATCACTCAATTTAATTAAAAAAAATCACTCAATTTCAATGTTACAAGCTCCATTAATTCCCAAGCAGTGGTCTACAATCACGAGAAACAATATGAGCTGTTGAATAGAGTATTTCATAATTTTGAGTAAAACTATGAAATAGTGTTAAAAAGGTTATGGATAAATAATTATTCTTAACATGAAACATGCCTAGAAAGAGGTATTTATTTCCATTTTGTAAATCATACCAATACCCAGGCAAAAGGAGCACGGTTAAAAAATGTCAGTGCCCGAACGTGTGGCACATTAACTAAAAATAGTGAAGAACCCCGCCTCATTTTGTAACTCAGTTCGACCAAAGTTCCAGTCTCAAACTTAGAATTCTTAAATCACTTCATTCAAGTGAGATCATCTCCCTGACTCTGCGACAAAATAAAATTTCTTATAAAGCAAAAGGAGTTCCAGAAGCAGAAACAAGCCGAGGCCAAGAACACAATGTCCTGCTCAATGAAATATGGATCATCCAAGAGAACTCAACATGAACAAAAAAATTACATAAAATTAGTAATATAATTCTTAGTGGCCCGTTTCCCACAAATGGGAGATCCGAATATTTTCTCCTGTAATGCCTATGTTTGAATGTAGCTGTGATTGAAAAAAGAGTGCGCGCTTAATCTTAGTTAGTTGCTGCTGTTGCTGCCTGTTTCTGCGCAAAAGAAACACCCTTCTCAATACTAGCCTTCAATTCTGGCTTCAAGGCATCCAAAGCCTTCGCCTCAAATTCACTAAGACCTTCAAGGTCCGATGGTACAAAAGCTTGAACGCCATTCTTCCCAAGCTTAACTCTAGAAGAAAAGAAAGGAATTTCAGTGAGTTCAGACTGCACGAAGGAGCACTCATATACGTCATCATCTCCATCCAATGCCCGTAGAGATGACTCCACAAACCGGGCTGCTGCATAAGCCATTGACAAAGTTGCGGAACCAGCTCCAGCTTTCGCCTCAACTACTTCAGTTCCAGCATTCTGGATTCTCACAGTTAGCTCTTGCACTTCTTCATCTGAAAAGACCACCGATGGCCTCGTCTTCGACAGTAGTGGCAAGATGGTGATCCCAGCATGACCACCAATGACTGGTACATCTACATCAATGAGTCTGAGATTCTTCTTTTGTGCAACAAATGTGTTTGCTCTGACAACATCTAGTGTAGTAACCCCAAAAAGCTTCTTTGGATTGTAAACACCCTTTTGCTTGAGAACTTCAGCGGCAATCGGGACGGTAGAGTTGACCGGGTTGCTTATGATATGGATGAAGGCGTCTGGGCAATGATCGGTGACAGCCTCCACAAGAGTCCTCACAATGTTCGCATTTATGTTAAACAGGTCATCACGAGTCATTCCAGGTTTCCTTGGAAGCCCAGCAGGGATCACTACCACATCCACACCCTTCAAACAATTTGAAATTTCTGAAGGACCGGTGAAATCAAGCACTTGTGAAGGGGTGTTGCAGTGGCGAAGATCAGCTGCAACTCCTTTTACATTGGCTATATCATACAGATGCAGGGTTGAGACTAAGGGAGACATCTTGATTAAGAGGGCCAATGGCTGGCCAATTCCTCCGGCAGCTCCAAGAACAGCCACCTTGAAGGTTGAAGCTTGAGGCAGGAACTGATTTGCAGACCTCTGCTTTGGTTGGAGCTTCGGAAGGCAGGATGCTCGTAAAGCACGATTACTTGCCTTTGCTATGAAGGAGACCTCTGATTCAGTTTCAAGTGAAGATGTCGCCTTTAAACCAATGAAGCTGTTGAGAAACTTAGAAGAATTGAAACTCGAGCCAAGGGATTTATGTTTCGCTGCCAAGATAGTTTTAGTGCTGTAGGAAGCTGGACTTGCAGATAATGTTGTCATTCCTGCCATCTCTTATGGGACCGCAAGAAAAATGGTCTGGTTTCATAGAAAAAATAAGCAAAATTAGTTGGGACTAATGACGTATAGCTCCTAAATATATAACCGAAGAATTAAAAAAAAAAAAAAAACCAAACCATTGATCCCATCTACACGAACACAAATAAGAAATGTTTTCACAGAAAATGAAGGTTCTGTTTGTACTGAAGTGAAATGAATCGAAATATTTATGGAATAATATGCAGCCATCAATTTAATTTTTTTAACCCTTTATTTCATTCCCGTTCACTAAAATTTCTAGCAGGCAAACACAGCCTAAAAGAAGCGACAAGATAAATTATGATAATTATTTATTCTACTTCCAGATTTAATTTATGGACCATTTGTTGAAAAGCTCACAGAACGAGCAACCCAGGAATTCGTATTAAATACCAAAAAAGAACTAGAGATACGGCACTTGAGATTTAAATAGAACAATTCTAGAAAATCTCAAGCACCAATACAATTAAAACAGCAACAAGCCTTTATCTCACTAAGTGGGGTCCGCAAACGGTTAATTGTAATTAAAATAAGCTGGGTAAAATAAAACCATAACTCACGCAAGGCATCCAAAGGGAGAAGTTAAAAGCAACATGAAGAAGATGCTGAAATTAGAGCAGGAGAAATCATGAATATTAATTTTCTCGGTTACAAGTTGTGGTTCAACACCCCTTCAAATAGAGGCATTCTATATTTGCTGAAAGAAAGTCATAATAAAACAAAACCTAATTCAATCTAATCAGATAAAACCAAATATGTTGGATCCAAAGAAGAAACATATCGCCACATTACTAGAATAATAAACCATGCCCGAGAGAGGTGTTAGATGAATAATTTACAATGAAACCGAATAAACCCCTCAGATGATCTACTGAGGATGAAGGTTTTGATCTAAAGAGAAACAATTCACACAGAAGGTGTTAGATGAATAATTTACAATGAAACCGAATACTTGGTTTTGATCTATAGAGAAACAATTCACTATAGATCTACTGAGGATGAAGGTTTTGATCTATAGAGAAACAATTCACACAGGTTCTATGGATAATTCTAAGAATTATCTTAGATATTGTGTTCAAAAATAAGGTTTTGATGTTGAAGATTTCTCATAAGATTCCCATCTTCATCAAAGATTTGTCGTGTGATGTTTCAATGCAACATTTGCATACCATTGATCAATTAGTGGTTGCCTATTTGCAACTGAGGATGAAGGTCTACATTACAAAACTGATTACAAGGTGCAATTACAGAAAGAATACATGAATCGAATAACTGGTTGTGTCGCAGATAAGTTAGACAAGTAGATGATTGTTAGTCAGGAATTTCAAACAATTTTTTAATTGAGGGCAGCTACCCTTATCTAATTTTAATAAGAACCCTAATCAGTTGTCTGGTGTTATGGGCAAATTGAAAAATTATTTTTTGAGTAAATAAGCCATGGCTAATGGGTGACTTCACAAGTTGCTTGAGCAATTTCAACAACTTAATGTCGAGGCATGAGTTAAAGCTAACACTTAAGCAGCCTGATGAGATTAAAATCTAGGCGATCCGAGGCTTTAGAAGACTTCAATCTTGATGATATTCTAGTTGCAAGAATTTCAAAACGATTCAAAATCATCAAATTACAATACCTAATTCAGGTTTACGCAACCTCTCAATTAATCTGATCCAAATCTCCATTAGCGTACATAATATAAATCAATTAAAAGATATAAAAAAATACTTATTTATAAGAAATTTTAGAAGGCAATAATCTCAACATTCCCTTCTCAATGCCAAATTCATGCAGATCACACAAGATTGTTTAGAACCAAGTAAAGCTTTCTAGAGCTTAAAATATATACATAAAAGTAAATTAAAAAAAAAACTATATCAATTGCTCCATAAGATATCTTTATCACTATTACAATAGAATCAAACATTCACGATCTTTTTTAAGAATTAAAAATGTTACAAGTTATATTCGGCTTTTATTAATTCTCTGTTATTTCCTATTTATTTAAAGTTATCTCCTATTTATGAAAATTTTCTTTTATTTCCGGCTAATTATAAGAGTTTTTATTTTTAGTTTATTTGATTAGATTTGTGCAATCTTGGAGAAATGGATGTTATTTCTTTCCTAAGTTTATGTTATATTAAGATGTATTTAAGCCAACATTTTGTATCACTAAAGGTATTATGCTTAATTCTCCAAACTTAAATGGTATCTAAGCAAGAGATCTTACCCTAGCCGTTGAACCTCCACCTGCATGGTCGAATCCCCTTTCCTCCCTACAAGCCACCTTCCCGAGACGGTACTACTCCCTGCAGGCCTCCTTCCAGACATCTTCCTGTAGCAGAAATCCTCCTTCAATTTTTTTTTTCCAAGGCTGGTACTCCATGCAGCAATCCCTCCTCTAGCCGAAACTCCTTCCTACAATCGAAAAATCTTCCCTACTTCTGTGCCACCGTGACCGATCCTCTCCTTTGGCTCTCCTACAATCGAAAAATCTTCCCTACTTCTGTGCCACCGTGACCGATCCTCTCCTTTGGCTCTGTTGGAGCCATGGTTGATTCCTCAACCTCTGAGCTTTCATCCGACGATGTTCTTGATTCCACCGAAGAGTCGAACCTCAAACCTTTTGCAAACCGAAAAACCTAAATACCACATGAATTTTCTGATTAACATTTATAAACTCAACGGTTCCAATTTCCTCCAGTAGCCTCAAACTATTTCACTGTTTATCAAAGGTCGGGATAAATTCAGCCCTCACGAGTACGATTAGAGAACCTCTTAAAACTAACCCAATATATATTGTGTGGGAAGTGGAGAACTTCATTGTTATGTCATGGCTAATTAACTCCATGGAAACTCAATTGGTCGTTCTTACCTGTTTTTTTCGTCTGGAAGTGACCTCTTTTAGGTAATTCTGAACAACTTTATGAAGTTTCTAATAAGTTCTGCAAGGCTAAACATGGATCGAAGAAGGTGACCCAAAACTACAATGACTTGGTTGCTTTATGAATAGAATGCAACATTTACTATGACTATACTTGAGACTCTCCATTAGACCTTTTCCTATTCAATAAGATTTTGGAAAAGAATCGTGTGTTTCAATTTCTGGCTGGCCTGAACAAGGATCTTGATGAAATTTGCGACCATATACTTGGTCACGACCCTCTTCCTTCAACCCGGGAAGCATTCATCAAAATCCACCGTGAAGAAAGTTGGAGACTTATCATGCTCGACAACTCAACTACTGCAGCCGAGTTGCCAGCCTTGGTCTCCAACATTACTCCATACCCTGCAATGTCGTCTCTAGACAATCACTTCACATATAATTTTTGTCACAAGTCCTACCATACTCATGACAAATTTTAGAAGCTCCACAGAAAACTGACAAATAAGTCTTCAACAAAATCTTTTATTACTAAAGATCTTGCTACAACCTCAGAATCCACAACAGTTCATCGGGCCCCTACTAGGACAATTATTGACTCATCGTCTGTTCAGGTGAAACATTTGATTATGTTGCTTGGTTCTAGTCAGTTCTACTCTCACCTGTCAACCTCTTATGTTTCCCAAGAAGCTTTTCTATGGCTCTCGCCCATTTTGTTTTTCGGATCTATGGATTATCGATTCAAGTGCCACATACCACATGACCGAGTGTCTGGAATGACTCGTGATGACATGTAACACGGATTTTCATTTCTTCTCGAGGCATTCACCTTGCTCCAAGTGAGATAAGATTACATTGCTAATGACTACATTAATTCCATTTTGGGTAAAGGGTTGATTTTACTAGCAGTCAGACTGACTTTGGAATCCGTGTTACATGTTCCTTTACTTAAGTGTAACCTCTTGTCAGTCAGTAAGTTAACATGTGATCTTAATTGTGTAGCTCACTTTTATTCTATTTTTGTATTTTTCAAGATTGTTGTTTGGGAAAAATGATTAGAACTGCTAAACTGGTAGCCAAACTCTATTTTTTTCCAAAAAAATGACATTGATGAAGTTAGCACTCAATCTCGTAGAAGTAGTTTCCTCTTTCTACATGTTCAACTATGTTTTTACATAGTTGAGTCATCCCAGCTTTCATCATTTAAAACAATTGTACACTTTGATGTTTATTGATAAAAATCATTTTTCTAAATGTGAAATTTGTCAATTAGTTAAACATCAATGTGTATCATATCCACCTCATACACTCCTTCCTCCCCTTTTTCACTTATTCATATTAATTGATGATCCTCTCAAACTTCAAACTATACCAATAAATAGTGGTTCCTTATTCTAATTGATGACCACACTAGGATGACTTGAGTTTATGCATTAAAAGATAGATCTAATGCTACTATTGCATTTAAAAATTTCCACTCCTAAAATCTAACCTAATTCAAAAGCAACTTCAAGTTTTGCGGACCGACAATGGGTGTGAGTACTTTAACTCTATATTGGGAGAATACTTGGATAGTAAGTCATCCTCTATCATAGTTCATGTACGGATATTGCTCAACAAAATGGGGTAGCCAAGCGGAAAGAAAAACACCTCGAAGTTGCTCGTTCCATTATGTTTCAAACTAATGTTCATCAGCATTTTTTTGAATTAAGTTGTTCTTACCGCTACCTACCACATCAATAAATTTCCACAAAAATCCACAACTTTTGGACCCCATTATCTGTATTGATGCCATGCTTTCCTGCTAGCCGATTCTTCTCTTCATTAGAACAAAAAAATTTTTAGTGCATGGCTTTTGTTCCAAACACAGCCCTAACATGTAGTAAATTTGGTCCCCACTCAATTAAATGTACTTTTCTTAGCTATTCAACCCCTGAAAAAATTTATAAGTGTTTGGATCCTACCGCCAATAAAACCA